CCTCCTGTTTCCCTCTCATTTCCCCTGGCTCTTCAGAGCTGCAGGCCAGCAGCTTTTAGAAATCTGAGGCTCCAACATACCCCTGACCTTACAAGCAGACAGTGCAGCAGGGAGCTGGTGATACAGGAAACTGCGTTGGCCTCCTCCCCTGTATCAAAGGCACAGAAAATCAATCCTGAATGAAATTTGAAAGAAAACCTATGTGTGTACACCACCTTGTGACCAGTTTGCAAACTACTCTCCCGCAAAAAGAAGCATAAACACTGAAATCTCCACACGCGCTTCTCCCCATCGGTCCAAAGAGACCAGTACCCCAAAGTGTTGTGATTACATTCTGTTTTCCTCCCTTTGCATTGACCAGAAGAAGGAAAAATAAGGCTTTGACATAAACCTATCAATTCGATTTTATCACCACGGATTCAAAACTTAGAGACTGTTCGGGAGCACAGAAACCACCTTCACAGCATATTCTCATTTGCACCCCCCCACACACCTTTTTCTGGAAAGAGAAGGCTGCAAGAAGAATCAAATGAAATAAGTGGTCCTTGGGGATTCTTGTCCTGACGTGGTCCAAAGTTTGAAAACAGCTAAGGATGATTCAAAGTAGAACCTTCCCCAGAAACTAGTGACCCATCTGCTTGGCCACAATGTACCAAGCTACTTAACTACCTGTCTCTGGCTCTTGCTGTTTACTCCCTTTTATCTGGGCACAGGGACTATCTGTTTCCACCATACTTGGTGCAGTCCTTGCCAATGGCCAACTAAATTCTAAAAAGTTAAGAATAAATTCCTTTCCATTAGTCCCATTTGTATTAAAACCTCTTTCCCTCCTATTTAATAAACTCAGCTCTCTTCCTCTTTGAATTTACAGTATTGTCTATTAGGGTTTTTAATGGGTGGTATGTCCTTAAAGTCATAACAAATGATGTTATAATGTTCATTTTATATTTTAATGTGCATTGCTCAATAATAGGCAATTTTGTTTTTATATACTTTGTAGGTTTTTGGTATAATTTGCTACCTTACTAATGGGATTGACTGCTACCTATAAATGATAGGTAGTGATAGGCTAGTCCATATTCAAGATGTAAAAGTTGAGTAGTATATGTCTTAAGATTAAAAAGAAATACCCTACAGTAATGTCTTTTTGAAAACACTTCATTTTTTAAAAATGTGTTATTTCCAACCTGGTTATAATTAATGTTATTTCCATGTTAAAACATCCCAATATGTCTTCAGTTATTTCAAGGTGTGCAATTCTGAAAGCAAAATCCATATTGATTCACTATATGAAATATATATGTTGCTACATGTAGCACTCTCAGAAATTTTAGAATCGCAAATTCATTCAACAAACATTTACTGAGCACTTATTATATACCAGGCACTGTGCTAGGGAATATGGAGAAAAGGTGAAAACACTGTCTCAGCCCTCCAGAAACTCAGTCTAGCTGGAAAAAGAGATATAGAGCAGTAATTAGGAGATGTGAGAAGTGTTAAACTGCTGATATATACAAGCACTCTGGGAGCCTAAAGAAAGTTATCTGCCTTAACAAACAGGAGTTTGTAGTAGAAGTGGAGAGGGGTAAATTCCAGGAAGAACATGTGTAGAGGCATGAAAGGCATGCTTAAAATGAGCTTTGGCATTGCATATGGTTAAAAAATAGCATATATGGGGAGAGTGGCAAGAGATGAGGCTGGAAAGGTAAGTTAGAGCCAGATTGTAAAAGATTTTCTAAGCCAAGTTTGGGGGTTTAGACTTGATTCCCCATGCTGGTTGTTCTCAAAGTGCGGTGCAGGGGCAGCAGCAGCTGCTTCACCTGGGAGCTTGTTAGAAATGCAAATTCTTGGTTCTCACCCTAGACTTGCTGAATCAGAAATTCTGGGATTGGGGCCCAGCCATCTGTGTTTTAACAAGTCCTCCAGGTAATTCTGATCCACATTAAATTTTGCAAACTGCCGCAGGCAATGGGAAACCTCTGAAGGATTTTAGGCAGGGAATTGACCCAGTAAGATTTGAAGTAGGAGTGGCTGCTATTGACCAATCAAGCACAACAGCTGACTCCTGAGTAGTTACAATAAAAAATAAATAACTGTTGAATGAATGTGGCATAAAGAGATGATGAAGGCCTAGACTAAGGCAGTAAGAATGGAGAGGAAACAGCTTTTAGAGATGTTTTAGAGGTGACCCAAGTTCAATCAGGTGACTAGGATATATCCATGGAAAGGTGTGACTGAAATAAATGGTTTTTATATAAAAGAAAGTTATACTCTTGTCAAATATATATATCAACCTCTATGTTTGAAAGAAGTAGACTGCAGAGCCTCTAGAAAAAGGGGAGTTCAAGAGCAAGTTCTAGTGTTTCCACATAGCCAAGAGCAAAGGGTGCCTTGGTTCATATATGAGTCTTCTGGTTTGCTTGGCAGTTCTACTTCTCACTGTAAGTTAGTCAATTGGCATTCATGTTAACAGAAGTCTTTTGTGAGTTTGGTTAGTGTGAATCAATCCCTGAGAATGACTGATAATTTCTGGACGCGCAGACAAAATTCAATTTTGAACCCGGACAAAATGAAAACCAGACGTTCATTCTGGTGATCTAACCAAGCTACTGCAAAAGTGAGATACTGCTACAGCCTTCCTTTTTTATTCTAATTTCATCACTAATCACATAGTCTGCTTAATTTAGGAACAAGCTGGAATGAGTGAAAGAATCAGACTTTGTACTATGCCCTGAAGGTCAAGAAAGTCAAGTAGAGCTGTTATTTCTAATTTTGGAGACAGGATTTAGCCAAGGCCATCTTCAATTTCCTGATGAAGAGAGAGAGAGAGAGGTACAGGTCAACCTATATAGTTAATTTACCTAATGAGAATTTTGCAGGGTGTAATTCCTATTTCTATTAGGACTCTGGATATCTGGGCTTATTTGACCAACTTATTTTGTCCAAGAATAGTTCCCAATCAAAAAATGTACTGTTCTATGGAATTTGAAATCTATAGGGGACCCTGGAGAATAAAAAAACCTTCATATTACAGATGAAGAAATTAAGGGCCTCAAAGAGTCAATCACTTAAAATATTTATTGTAGGGCAAGATTCTCCAGAATGCTACAAGGTGGCAAAACAAGATTCAGAATAACACTGGTAATTTGCTCCTCTGTTAAGTTTTAAGCAAAATTTAAAATGCCTCTCCCATTTTAAGGTCCAGTCTACAAAAATAGTTTACTTTCTTAGACTTCGTTAAGAACAGAAAAAGAACAGTAGCAAATTATTTATTTTATTGGGTTATTAGGGAATGATTTTTTCTTGTAATTTCTTGTTTTATGCTTTCAGAAAATGGGGTTAAATGTAAAAGCCCTCTGAGAAAAAAATTAAAAACATTTGGATAGAAAATGTGGGTGAACAATTTAAGAAACATGCATTATCTTATAAGCTATTTGTTCTATTTTCTATCTTTGCTTATAAAGGGATAGCTTTCCACTGAATACTGTCCATTATATTTAATTATACATTACATGTATAGGGAATCCATCACAAGTGCCCCTCAGATTTGAAAAATTCCTGAAGTTCAAATATCCTGGTATTTGATTAAACCTCTGTTGTTTTGAGAGTTCTAGAAATGCTTCAGAAACTAGTTTGATCTCGAGTCCTATTTGGGTAAGTAGACGTGAACAACTTGAAAGACACATTTGGCCCTGTTTCCTGTTTTCCAAACTTCCCACTGCTTTATACCAAATATATGTGTAATGTAAAAATTGGTGTCTACTCCCTATTCAGTATTCTGCATACGATATTTTCTAGGCAAAGACATTTTCCAGTACTCAGGGGGAAGTGTGGACAAGATCATCATCAAGAATGTATTAAATCCCATGTGTGCCTTGCCTGAAAAAGTAGACTTTTCCGCTACTGTCTGGAATTCACATTAAGAACGCAATGCCTTCCAAAAGCACAGGACTGCTTTTTAGGCACGATCCAAAGGACCCTATTTTTCAGGTTTGTATCCTCTTCTCATTTCCCTCAAAAATAAAAAATCTGAGACCGTTTTTACTTAATATTTGCCCTCTTGTTCCCCGACGTGAGATCTCTTCCATTCTACTGGAGCAGAAATGCTACTTCAGCCCAGAGAGGGCAGATGTCAGTTACTTTCCCGAAGGGGAAAACCACACAGAACATTGATTAAGGGCTGGAGGGCTGGGGAGGGAGGATAAAACGGTCTGTCCGAGGACTTCAGCTCCACCTGATTGGGGCCCAGCCTTCCAGCCCTCGTCCCCACACCGGCCGGCTCCATGTGAAACCGGTCATGTGAGCATGTTTACAGCCGAGCAGCTGGTGCAACCATCAGGATCCGTGCGGAGGTCCAGGGAGGGGGAAGGATTCAGGCCACGTACCCCTGCCCCCTCCCCCATTATTCCAGGGAGGCGTTCGCTCTCCCTCGCTGCCTCTCCACCCTACTTTCATCTCCCTCCAGGCAAAGAGAGCAGAGCTGAAGCCATCCCGGGACGCTTGGGTCCAGCCCTGCTGATTTCCTTCCAGTTGCTCGCCGGGGGCACCGGCTGGGCTGGAGGAAGGGCGAGACGGTGTCACCCCGAACAGGGAGTCAACCTCCCTCCCCCAGCCCTCCACACTACCTCCACCGAAGAGTTGTCCCGGGAGCTGCATCCCTGGGGCAACCGAACTCCGCCGGGCAGGCACCGGGAGGCTCCCGAGCCTGCCTTCACTCAGGCAGGAGCGAGCCACACGCCGGCTGGCCAGACCCCAGGGCCGGGAGTCGCGGGCAGCGGGGCCACTGACAGTCAGAGACGGGGCAGAAAAGACACCCCTCCGCCTCCTCCCCACCGCCCACCCGCATCCCGGCGCCGCGGAGCCCCGCTGTCAGTCACAGAGCCAAGCTCGGGCTTCGAGTATGGGTCATTCTTTGGGCGGGGGCGCCCGCTCGGCCACGTAACTTCCACGTTTCCCCGAAGTCGGAGGAAGTGGGTGACGGGATGGTGGGGGACTCTCACCTCGGAAACACCGGCTCCTCGGAAAGCAGCTGCGACTGCTCCTCCGCTCCTTTGTCAGTGTCTCTAGGCTGCACTGCCTGCTGGGATACCGGAGGACTCAAATGCCACCTCTCTCCGCCCTCGAGGATGAGCCGCGGCTGGGGGGAAGGGAGAGGAAGAAGAGGTGGAGCCGGGGGCGGGGCCGGAGCCCGGGGCGGAGCTTCGGAATTGCCACCTGGCTTCTTGGGCTTCCCTCCTTTGTGCTCCAAACTTCTTCTTTCTCTGGCTTCTGACCTGGCCCTCCCCTCCCGCCACCCCTTGAGGAGACTGGAGACACAGAGGGCCGTCTTTCTGCACCTGTTAGGCAGTCACCCTTGCCTCCTGCCGTCACTCCCTTACATACATTCACCCAATGAGGTACCCAGGGCTAGTTGATTCCACTTCTGAGACATATCTTAGTGACCACCTCTTTCTCCACTGTATCCTCAGCATTACAGACCCTGTTTAGACACCATGACTTTTTGCTTGTATTAATACCTCTGCAGTAGCCTCCTGTTTGGACTCTCTCCTTCCACTCTTACCTCTGTCTAACCATCTCCCAGACAGCAGCCAGAGGGATCTATCTAAGATGTATACATGTGACATCTGCTTCAAACCTTTCAGTCTCAGGAGTACCTACAACCCCTTAGCATGATGTACAAGGTCCTCTGGGCCCACCCAATGGCTCACAGCTGTAATCCCAGCACTTTGGGAGGATTCCTTGAACACAGGAGTTTGAGACCAGCCTGCAACATAGCGATATCCTATCTCTACAAAAATGTAAAACATTAGCTGTGCGTGGTGGTGCAGGCCTGTAGTCCCAGCTACTCCGGAGGCTGAGGCTGGGCGATCACTTGAGCCCAGGAGTCAGAAGTTGCAGCGAGCTATGATCATGCCACTGAATTCATCTGGGCAAAAGAGCGAGACTCCATGTCTTAAAAAAAAAAAAAAAAGTCCTCTGCAATCCTCTTTTTTTAATTGATGAATAATAGTTGTACATATTTTCAGGGTTCACATGATATTTTGATAAATTCGTATAATGTGTAATGATCGAATCAGGGTAATTGGGGTACCCATCACCTCAAACATTTATTTTTTTCTTTATGCTGGGAATATTTGAATTCTTCTCTTCTAGCTATTTTGAAATATACGACAAATTACAAGGACTCCCCAGGTTATGGATGACCTGGCTTATGGTGTTCTGTATAAATGAAGGGAATTCAGGAACCACTTTCTTCCGTGCATGTAAACAAACCCACATAGCATTAGCAGTTCTCTGGGGCAGCATCTTTACACTAGCGGCTAGTCTCATAGATAGATAGAGAAGCAGCCGATAGAAACACAAGAACACAAAGAATCAATAGATCTAGAATCAAGAAAGTTCACGACAAAAGAATTAGCTGAAGCTTTTCCTCTCATTGAAGCAGGATTTGCTAAGCTTGAGGAGCAAGATTCTAACATTGAGCAGTTTGCAAAGGTTTACCATGCAGTTAGTGAGAACATCAGCTGCTACAAGGCCATTTATGATGAAAAAAAGAAAAAGGCTATGCAAACAACCCTAGATACCTTTTTCAAGAAACTGGTTTCAGTGGCAAACTCCCCTCCTCAAGCAACAGAATCCAATCCTGCTTCTCCAGCATCTACTCCATCCTCTCCAGCACCATCTCTATCATCATCTTCTGATTAATGTCAGCTGCCTTCTTGCCTCAAAAATGCCCCTGCCAATGAGCAAGATGTTGATGCAACATTAGGGGAGTGTTAATCTTTAATATTCTTTTTTTGAAATTTCTACTATATCCTATGTAAACTTTTTGTCGGACTTTGTTTTTATGTTTTGTTTGAATTATAAGAAAGAGCACAATAGTTTCTGTGACTTATTATTACAGTACAGGGGTATTGTTATTACAGTGTTATACTGTATTACTATTACCACATATGAGCCATTATAGTATTATTATTATTATTACTGTATATGTGCTGTTCATCAGGGATCTGAGTTACATACAAATCCAACCTAAAGATATTCTTAGGAATATATCTTCTCCATAACCCAAGGACCACCCATATTGTTAACTATAGTCCCCTACTGAACACTAGATCTTTACGTGGTAGCTTAATTCTTTCTTCTATCTAACTGTATTTTTGTACCCATTAATCAACCTCTCTTCATTCTCCCTTTGCCTCTACCTTTCCCAGCCTCTGGTAACCACCAATCTACTCTCCATCTTCATGAGATCCACTTTTGTTGCTCCCACATATGAGTGAGAACATTTCGATGTTTGTCTTTCTGTGCCTAGCTTATTTCACTTAACATAATGACCTCCAGTTTCATCCATGTTGCTGCAAATGAGAAGATTTCATTCTCTTTTTATGGTTGAATAATATTCCATTGTGTGGCAGGGTTGGGGGTGCATGTGTATACACATATCACATTTTATTTATCCAGTTATCTGTTGATGAGCACCTAGGTTGATTCCATATCTTAGCGATTGTCAATAGTACTGTAGTAAACATGGGAGTACAGATTTTCTTCAATATATTGATTTCCTTTCTTTTGGATATATACCCAGTAGTGGGATGGCTGGATCATATGGTATATCTATTTTTATTTTTATTTTTTTGGAGGCTTCATACTGCTTTCCATTGTGGCTATACTAATTTCCATTCCCATGAACAATGTATGAATATTTCTCTTTCTTTGCATCCTTGCCAGCATCTGTTAATTTTTGTCTTTTTGATAAAAAGCCATTTTGACAGGGGTGAGCTGACACCTCATTGTGGTTTTGATTTGCATTTCTCAGGTGACTAATGATGTTGAGCATATTTTCATATACCTGTTGGCCATTTGAATGTCTTCTTTTGAGAAATATATATTCAGATCTTTTGCTCATTTTTAAATCAGATTATTTGTTTTGGTTTTGTTTTTTTCTACTGTGTTGAGTTCCTTATATATTCTGGTTGTTAATCCCTTATCAGATGGATAGTTTGCAAATATTTCCTCCCATTCTGTAGGTTGTCTTTTCACTTTGTCGATTGTTTCCTTTGCTGTGCAGAAGCTTTTAAACTTGATATAATCCCATTTGTGTACTTTTGCTTTTGTTTTTAACTTTTTTTTTTGAGACAGAGTCTCACTCTGTTGCCCAGGCGGAGTGCTGTGGCATCAGCCTAGCTCACAGCAACCTCAAACTCCTGAGCTCAAGGGATCCTCCTGCCTCAGCCTCCCGAGTAGCTGGGACTATAGATGCACACCACCACACCCAGCTAATTTTTTCCTATATTTAGTAGAGATGGGTCTTGCTCTTGCTCAGCCTGGTCTTGAACTCCTGACCTCAAGCTGTCTTCCCGCCTCAGCCTCCCAGAGTGCTAGGATTACAGGCGGGAGCCACCACGCCTGGCCTACTTTTTCTTTTTTTTGTTGGCTGTGCTTTTCAGGTCTTACCCCCCCGAAAAATCTTTGCCCAGATGTCCTGAAGCATTTCTCCAATGTTTTTTGTTTGTTTGTTTTCTCTCCATTTCCACAGGTATCAACTCAATGTTTTCTTCTAGTAGTTTCATAGTTTCAGGTCTTAGATTTAAGTCTTTGATCCATTTTTATTTTGTTTTTGTATATGGTAAGAGATAGGGATCTAGTTTCATACTTCTGCCTATGGTTATCTGGTTTTCCCAGCACCATTTATTAAAGAGACTATCCTCTCCCCAATGTATGTTCTTGGCACCTATTTTGAAAATCAAGTGGCTGTAAATACTTGGATTTATTTCTGGGTTCTCTATTCTGTTCCATTGGTCTATGTGTCTTTTTTATGTCGGTACCATGTTCTTTTGGTTACTATGGCTTTGTAGTATATTTTGAAATCAGGTAGTATGATGCCTCCAGCTTTGTTCTCTTTGCTCAGGATCTCCACAATCCTCTTCTGATGTGCCCAGTACTCTAGCCCAATAAACTTGGCCATCCATGGAAGACAGCCGGGCCTGGAACAACTCAACCGGCACTGGTTGCCCCAAATACTCCCCCTTTAAGGGAGGCCACACTGTCAGTAACTTCCATAGGCCCTGTGGAGTATCATTAAAGAAAGAATTTTCAAAATTAAATTTTAATAATGTTCAGAAAGGAAGAGTAAGGTGCAATGGCTATGGATCCCCTGTACACATGAAAAAGGGCCAAAGAATTCTCCCCAATTGCCCCACCTCAGCAATGGGCTGCCTGTAGATCTCCCTTAGACTCGGGCCTCTGATGCCTTTGCTCACAGATTCCTTCAGTTTATAATGCCATTCTCTTTCTTTGGAATACCTATCTATCTTTCAAGGCCTAGTAGAAATGCCTATTCCTCCACCAACATTCCAGGATCTTCCATGAGAACTATTAACTCCTGCTCCATCACCATAGAATGTTGCTTATTCTGCCTTGCAATTCTTTTTGACTTAGGTAATCACTAGTCATGTATATGTCTTCCTTTCTCTCCTACCTAGACTATGAATTCCTCAGATCCAGCACATAGCTGCCAACACAACACCTGATTCAAAAAAGATATTAATACAATTTGGTGAAATGAAATCCTTTGTCTTCACTGTATCTGAAGCCCTAAGTAGGCCCAGAAAGGATCCTAGGCAATGCCTCATACAACAACCATCTTCCCTGTACCGGAACACCTCCATCCTGACCTGGCCACGTGTCACTTTTGCAAATACAAACTGGTTAGGCAACAGGGCATTGCAAAAGGACCAAGGCTTCTACTTCCCTTGCAGGTCAGACTGGTTTGTGGTATAATATGTGATTGTGGAAAATGTAACTGGTATGGTTCACATGAGAATCCAGTGTAGAAAAATTGTATGGTGCCATAGAAAATAGCTGAGTTTCCAAATGCAGACGTATCTCCTGGCTTTGGGAGGCTTTTGATTCCTATTGGCTTCAGGTTTCCCTTGGGCTCCACATCCCTTCAGCCCTTGTAAATTGTCTGTGTTATAAGGTATTCTTTTGTGAAAGTTAGCATCTTGCTTTGTGGTGTTCTTGCATCATTAAAGATGCATTTCCTTTCTCTCCAATTATATGACTACACTCTGGCAGGGTTTTCTCATTCCTAAAATGGGGACAAGAATCCTTGGCCTACCCAGTTTACCAGGCTCTTGGGAGGTTCTAATGTGG